TTCTCGGCCGCTTCCAAAATCAGACCGCTCTTGGCCACGTGCCGTTCAATCCACAGCCATATTTATTGCTTCACACTTCCAAAACGAGAAATACGATATCAATATTCCAGAAAGACTCCCAGTTACTCGAGACAAGATACGAGATACTGATAAGATAATATTTTCAATGATACAAATCTTCGTTTCCAACATCTCCTTCGATCCATATTGGATGATACTCACGCGCAATTCCAGAAGAGTTTTCTGGTAAATCTTACTGGATAGACAGAAACTTCTGACCAATTTCGATAAAATATTATTCATTTCTGAAACAGAATAGGTGGATGTATACCAATTCATCATCTTCTCGCTATTTTTGAATATCAGGTGCCTCGATTTTAATAATTGTCTGGTGTCAAAATATTTTTCGGTAGGTTATGGGATGATTGAAAATGTTTCAGTAGATCAATACGCAAATTTGGAGATCTACTGAGAATTTAGTAGAACCGGCAACCCTGCAGCAGACAAAAATTACTCGCCTTCAGTAATTTCCCGTTTTTCTTTCAGAAATTAAAAGGTGAAATGTGATTTTATGTAGAGGTCGGCGAGAAAATGCTTTGTCACATTACATTGAGTGTCATCCGTCGAATGCAATGTATTTAGTCGATATCAGTCTCTCGAAAATTTCCGAGTGTTACTCGTAAGCGGGACCGATCGATAGATAACAACTATTCCAGAACAAAAAAATTTCAATGATATTCGAATTGCGGAAGGAGAGACCCGATAAGTTTTTCTGGCTCTCATTTATAATAATAATCAACAATTCAACAGTTTTTCACTTCGAAGAAATACAATGATTTTATTATTTGGGCCGATTTTATTCTCATCTGACAATCAACACCTCTGTTGTCAATCCCAAAATTCGGAATGTAAAGAGGTCGATTCATGCAACAGTCATTATATTTACGTTCTAATTACAGTATGAATTGAGAATGTTAAAAACTCATATTTCCTAGAATACGTTTTTATTACATTTTCAAGACATTAGTGCACTATGAAGTTGACCAGCTCTCAACTATACATCATAATCACATTATTGTTTATAATAGGATTAAAGAGACATTTAAAAAAGGTAAAGGTAATAAAAATGTTCATGCTTTAGAAAGTGATGAAAGTGAAGAATTTTGCATTGATACTATAGAAATTAATGATGTAAAAAGTTCAAATAAGTATGCTTGGGAAGAAAAAGTAAAAGTAAATGATATTTTCATCAGTTTCAAGCTTGATACAGGTAGTCAGTGTAATGTTTTACCTCTCAGATTTGTAAAAATATTGAATCTCGAAGGGTTGATCAAAAAATGTAACCAAACCATAGTAGCTTATGGAGAGAATAAAATAAATGTAGTTGGTCATATAATTTTGAGATGTTGGGTAAGGAATAATGAGTATAAAATAAAATTTGTCGTAGTAGATGTGAAAAGTAAGGCAATATTGGGTCTGAATACCTGTGAGAAGTTGAATCTGATTTATAAAGTTGATGTAATACAAAAAGAAATAGAAACTGATGGTAAGGAAGATTCTAAAAATGTTAACATGGAATTTAAGAAACTGAAATTTCTGGAAGATAATAAAGATATTTTTGAAGGAGTTGGGAAAATACCAGTTGAATATGATATGAAATTGAAGAAGAATTATATACCATATTCAAGTGGCAATCGAAGGTTACCGGAAAAAAGAAAAAATAGGCTGAAGGAAACACTACATGAACTTGAAAATAAAAAGTTGATAGAAAAAGTTAATAAGCCTACAGAATGGGTCAATAATATTGTGGTAAGAGAGAAAAGTAATAAAAAATTAAGAATATGTCTTGATCCAAGTAAGTTAAATAAAAATATATGTTCAGATCAGCATCCTATTCCCACAGGGGAAGAAATAAGTTTGAAATTGAAGAATAAAAAAGTGTTTAGTGTTCTTGATATGAAAGATGGTTTCTTACAGATTCCATTGAGTAAAAAATCTACAGAGCTTTGCACTTTTATAACGCCATTTGGAAAATATAAGTTTTTGAGACTTCCATTTGGACTTTCTGTGTCACCTGAGGTTTTTCAAAAAATTAATGAGGATATTTTCGGAGATTTGGGCGTAGGAATCTATTTCGATGATTATATTATTGCAGGAGATACTGAAAATGATCATGATGAAATAATGCTGAAATTCATAGAGAGGGCAAGACAGTATAATGTAAAATTTAATCCTGAAAAGTTACAGTATAAAGTTGAAAAAGTAAAGTATTTAGGAAAGGAGTTTTCTCTAGAAGGGGAAAAGCCAGACCCAGAGTATGTCTGAGCTATCTTGTGTTTAGAGGAACCTCAAAATAAAAAAGAGTTATTGACTGTTCTGGGTATGGTTAATTATTTGATAAAATATATTCCACATCTAGCAGAAATTAGTGCCCCATTGCGAATGTTAACAAAAAAGAACATCCTGTTTAACTGGGATTTAGCACAGAAAAAAGCATTTGAAAGTATAAAATGTCTAGTTTGTGAAATACCAATATTGAGAATTTTTGATCCAAAAGAAGAAGTGGTGATACAAGCGGATGCAAGCTCAAATGGTTTAGGAGGGTGTCTCATGCAAAAGGGAAGGCCTGTAGCTTTTTGTTCTAAAAGCCTTACCGAGTCTGAGAAGAGGTGGGCTCAGATAAAAAAAGAATATTTAGCTATCACATTTGGTGTTGTAAAATTTCATCAATTCATTTATGGAAAAAAAATAATAGTTAACTCTGATCACAAGCCTCTTGTGGCAATACATGAAAAAGAAATCAATCAAGTAAGTTCGAGATTACAAAGACTCAAGTTGAAATTGTTGAAATATAATTTCAAAATTGAGTATTTACCTGGTCCACAAATGTTCATTGCAGATTTGTTGTCTAGATCTTTCATAAAAGATAAAGTGCTTGATGATCCAGAGTTGAAAGAAATAGTTCACTGCATAGAAAGGGAATTTCCGATTAAAGATGAGAGATTAAAAGATATCCAGGAAAAAACAAAGAATGATCAGGTGTTGAAAAATATTTTGGGATATTGTGATAAAGGTTGGCCAGACATCTTGAAGAGTGAAGATAGGGAAACTATGATTTATTTCAAGAATAGAACAAATATTGTAAATAAAAACGGTATTTTATTTCTTGATGATAAAATCATGATTCCGAAACTTTTGAGGTCATTTATGCTGAGTCAGCTACACAAAGGACATTTTGGAATTGAAAAAACTAAGAAAAGAGCTAGAAATATTTTTCATTGGCCTGGAATGTCTGTAGATATAGAAAATTACATTTTACGTTGTAAAATTTGTGAAAAATTCAGGAGGTCTAATGTGAAAGAACCATTAATACCTCATGATATTCCCGATTTACCTTTTGAAAAGGTTTCATGTGATATATTAGAATTTGATTCAGAATCTTATTTAGTGTTGACAGATTTTTTCTCGAATTGGATTGAGTTAGTAGAATTGAAAAATTAAATTATTGGTGAAGTGATTAAACACTTGAGGAATATTTTTTCTACTCACGGTTATCCTCTTGATTGGGTAAGTGATAATAATCCATTCAACAGTTATGCCTTTAAACAGTTCGCCAAAGATATTGGAATGAATCTTTAATTTACAAGTCCTAGATATTCACAGTCGAATGGACTTGCTGAAAAATCGGTAGGAATCTGTAAAGATATTTTAAAGAAAAGTAGAGAAGTTGGTAAAGATTATAGAGAATTCTTGATAGAATACAGAGCTACTCCGTTATGTGCTCTAGGTGTTTCTCCATCAGAACTTTTGTTCAATGAATTGATAAGAACTTCCTTACCAACACATAGTTGCCAGTTGAAACCAAAATTATCAGACATCACCAAACAGAATTTTCAATTAAAACAAGAGAACGAAAAAAGATATTATGATAGAAATGCTACACACAGACCTAATTTTGACTTACATCAGAATGTAGTTATACAAAAAGATAAGAAATGGGTACCAGGCAGTATTATTGATAAATGTGATACACCTAGGTCATATGTGGTGAAGGATGAAGATGGTTCTACTTTGAGAAGGAATTCTAAGTTTATTAGGAGATCATTTAATGAGCCAAATTCACAGGATAGGAACAGTATAGATTTATATGTTGATGGAAAAGAGAAAGAGAATTGTAATGTTAGCGATAAGGTAGAAATAAGCCAGGATGATGTTAATGCAAATGATGTAGAAATAAATAGAGAGAACTTGAGGGTATTCAAGAATGTAAATGATAATTCAACATACACTAGAAGTAGTAGATTAGTTCAGAAACCTATTTGGCTAGAAGGATATACTTCTTGAAAATGAAATAATAAAAAAAAAGGAGATGTGTCATATTGCTACATCCTGTATGTATGATTGTATGTGTTGGAATGAATAGATCCTTAGAGGGGTATTAGGCATTCCTATTATGTTTAGATAGTCACACATGAAATGCTGGTTGTTATGGTTAGGGTTGTTGAATAAACACTTGATGGAAGTGTCAGAATCAATTAGTTTAATAAATGTCATGAAACTATTAGGAAGGTTTTTAATTATAACTCCTGTATGAAACAAAAATAACTTGTTTGCAAGATCAGATCCATTGAATGACCATTTTCCTCACGAATACTATCTCTAATTCTCCACAGATATTTCATTCAAAATGGAGACAAATCCTCAAATAACCTGTAATCATTTGAATAATCCAAGCAAATCACATAACCTCGAATAATCAGTTGATTAGGGTCATGAATTGCTTGAACTGGTACTTCTCGGCAAGTGAAAATGTAACTATAATGTAGTGAAAATGTAATTATAATGAATGTTGCATGAATCCGCCGTAACTTCTGGAAATATAGTCAATTCGGATGATATTCTTGTTGGGATGTTATATTTCACTGTCTAGAGATATTTTACATGTCTGATGTCAGGAGCTCCTGTCAACTGGGATATTGTAATCGTTTTTGAATTTTCAGAGTACAGATTTGAGCCAGAGAATATTCAACAGTAACTGGTACGACCAAAGTTCTGAAGTGAAGAGGAGTCTGTTGATTGTGATGGCCAGAGTGCAAAGACCACTCGTACTCACTATCGGCAATTTTGCAGTGATCGACAATGATTTGATAGTTACCGTCAGTATAGAATCTGGATTGTAGTGCTCACTTTGTTTTAATAATATATGCTTCTTTTCCAGATGGTCAAAGCGGCTTATACGTTCGTAATGTACCACATAATTTAGAAGTTGTCAAGGAATGGGGAGTTTCTTTTTGATGACTTTCCTACAGATCAGTTCTTCACTGATCAGCCTAATGTTTCCTCGATGTAGAATGCTTTTCAGATACACACAAAAAACTATTTGATGAATCTATTATTTTTGCTCTTGCTTGGCTTCGCTAGATGCTCCACCTCGCAAATGCAAAATTCGCTTGTGTCACTTTTCAATCCTAATAAAAAAATCTACTATACATTCCCAATTTTTTCGTTTGCCAACTTCAACAGAGTGTTTTATGGTATTTTGTTACCACTGCCCTGCAATGAAAGGAGCTTCCTCTCTGGAAACTTCATTATGTCACACTAGTACTCACTGCAAGACACTTTACGGTCTCTCTGGATCAATGGCGTGATTGAGGGTGGAGTCTATGTGGTCTGGTCCCCTCTCAGAGCTCTCTGAAAGAACTTAACAATCTGGTTTCAGTCTGATGATGAAAATGAAGGCATAAGTATAAAAAATATCACAGGAATTTAATTAGTAATTCGTTAGATCCCCCAATGATTATCCCTAGATGCGATGAGTGAGAAGACGGTAGTGATTTCCTTGTTGACAGACACGTGATGACGGCGCTAACGTTAAAGGAAACAGCACAGACAGAGAGACGAACTGAATCATTACTAATATCATTGAGAGGCAAGATCTGTTTGTTTGTTTGTGTAGTATTCAAAGTAACATGAAAACACTCATTTCAGCAAACACGCGATTTATTTTATCAACATTACTTCTTTACATTCAACTATGAATATTCCCGACTAAAGACTGCCGTCCACTCACGACCTTCATATCTATTCACATATAGGTATCCTAAAAACCAATGTTAATAAAAAGTGCGCTACAAGGTGCGCAAATAAATTTACTCAATATAATGTTTACAGATATATCACACCTCCCCCGTATTCTGGAAATAATTTCCAATTATACTTGAAAGCGTGATGTTGGTATTCTGAGACGATTTCCTCTACGTAAATTCGATTGAAAATCATTTTCAGGATGATCATCATTTAAATTTGACCGGGGTGATTCAAAGAGTTTATCTAAATTTGAGTCATCACTATTTTCAGTGCCTTCAGAATTATTTTCTTCATAACTATCCTCACTTTGGCAAACCTCACTAACAACTTTTTCATTTGGATCTATACTACCATATTCTAAAATTTGATTCAGATGCCGGTGCCATGTTCGGTCAATTTCTGGTATGAATAGTGAATAAGTTCTTGAACCAATTTTTTTATTTATGATCCCTTTGATCCACTTTCTTTTTGACCCCCTATAATCTCTCACGAGTACGATATCGTTCTTATTGAAGATTCGGTTTCTAGTACCCTTGTAATATTTCCTTTGATTGCTCATACTGGTTTCCACTGTATCAATATGACCCTGAATATCATTTTCATTCTTATTTGAATCTTTTGGCTCTGAAAAATCGAATCGGAATCTAAGTTTTCGGCCTATCATCAATTCGGCCGGTGAAACGCCGGTGGAACAGTGGGGAGTATTACGGTAATCCATCAGAAAACGATTCAATATTAAATCTAAATCACAATCACCACCAACAGATGCTTCAACGGATTTTGATAAAGCCAATTTAATAATTTTTACGGTATTTTCAGCTGCGCCGTTTGTAGAAGGATTATACGGTGGACTATGTATGATTTCAACACCATTCAATTTTAAGAACCTATTAAACTCAGCGGAAGAAAATCTAGTAGCATTATCGGAAACTAAACATAAAGGATAACCAAATCTCGCGAATAATTCCCTCAAAATTTTTATCGAAGTGTAAATACTGGTATTATTCACGATAAAAGCTTCATGTCATTTGGTATGAGCAACAATCACTACTAAAATATGCTTACCATGAAACGGCTCTAAATAATCTACATAAATTCTGGTCCAGGGACTCACTGGATACTTCCAATTAATTAGAGCAGACTTAGGAGGACTTTGACGATACTGCAGACATGAGGAACAAGCTTTTACTGTATTTTCGATATCTACATTCATTTTAGGCCACCAGATATACGAACGCGCTAAACTTTTTGTTTTGACCATACCCATATGTGATTTATGTAATTCTTCGAGTAGCTCACCCTGTAAACTAGTCGGAATCACAACCCTATTTCCGAACATCAAACAATCGTTTATAATCGAGAAGGCCTGCCTATTAAAAAAATATAATTTCAAGTCTTCTTCAACCTTTTTGGGCCACCCGTTTCTTACAAATTGAAAAACTTTCTTCAAGGTCGTATCTATTAAACTATGCTCGCGTACGATATTGCTATCAATTGGTGAATTTTCATTTTGACTGATGAAATTAATGATAAAAGCATGGTCATCATTACTTTCATAATTATTATGAACAGGTAATCTTGACAAACAATCCACATAATTCTCCTTGGATTTAATATATCTAATATCATACTGAAAATTTGCTAATATCAAAGACGACCTCTGCGAACGATTTGCAGCATATGTTGGGATGCCCTTTTTTTGCGTAAATATTGCAACCAATGGTTTATGGTCAGTTAACAAGATGAAACGTCTATAAAACAAATACTGGTAAAATTTCTGCACACCGAAAATTATTGCCAGTGCCTCCTTCTCAATTTGCGAATACTGTTGTTCGCTTTCAGTCAACGTGCGAGATGAATAGGCAATAGGCCTGTTCACCCCTTGGACACTATGAGTAATAACCGCACCCACCCCATATTGTGAAGCATCTACCGCTAATTGAACGGGTAACTCTGGATTATAATGCACGAGCACCTCTGCGGACGCCAAAACTTTTTTCACCTCATTGAAAGATTCGATACACCTCAAGTCGAAATTCCATTCAACATCTTTCTTACACGAATTATGAAGCGGCTGCAGAAGTGTGGAAGCATTAGGTATAAACTTATGGTAATAATTTACAAAACCCAGAAAAGACTTCACTTGAGTAATATTTTGCGGAATTGGAGCATTTGTTATAGCATCGACTTTTTCTTGGCATGTGTGTAGACTCTCCTTATCGATTTTAAATCCGACATAAGTGACACTTCCTTTAAAAAAATCACACTTCGATATCTTTACGGTTGAACCATTTTCAGCAAATTTATTTAAAACAGTTTTCACCCTATCTACATGTTCAGCCCAATGTTTACCAGTGATCAGAACATCGTCTTGAAAACATGCGACACCTTCTAAACCATCTAACATTTGAGACATGATTTTTTGAAATTCAGACGGACCTGTGTGAATTCCAAATGGTAGTCTGTTATAACAAAATAAACCTTTATGTGTAGAAATTGTAGTTAATAAACGAGATTCTGCACTTAACATGACTTGCTGATATGCATTCGACAAATCTAGTTTAGTAAAATATTGTCCACCTTGTTATTTCACGGATAACTCTTCTGTGCGAGGAAGCGGAAACTTATCAATTTCTAAATCTTGATTCAATGTCAAGGCATAGTCCCCGCATAATCTTACAGAACCGTTTTTCTTCAATATGGGTACTATTGGAGTGCCATATTCCGAATATCCCACCGGCGTCAACACATTTGATTTCAAAAGCCTTTCTATTTCTATTTCAACTTTCTCCTTCAGAGCGAAAGGCAAAGGCCTTGCTTTGAAAAATTTTGGTTGTACATTCTGTTTAAGTTGCAAGTGGATACAGCCTTTATTAAATAATCCCAATTCATTTTTGAATACCGATGGAAATTCTTCGCGAAAATTTTCCAGAACATTCTCATGACAATCGACTTTGTTTATGCTTAGAGAAAATTTATAAAAAAAATCTCTACCTAATAGGGGTGGTCCCCCATTATCAATAACATACAAAAACATGTTTTCCGAACGATTTTTGTGGGTCAAATTCACAGCTATTTCACCCATCGGAATTATGTGTTCTCCAGTATATGTAGTGAACAATTTATCTGTTTTTTCTACCAAGATATTTGAAAAGTGTTGATAGTATGATTATTTCGAAGTTAGATTCAGACTGGCACCGGTATCTAATTCAAATAGCATTTTCATATCATTTACAAAAACATCAATACTGATCGGTTGATAACCGTCTACATTCATTTGAAATAGTTCATCAAGATTATCAATGGATTGAACATCTGAAAAGTTGTTTTTGCTATTTCTTTGTTTACACACCGGTGCAAGATGGCCTCTTGCTCCACAAACGTTACAATTATATGTACGATACCTGCACTGTCCTGGGTGATGTTTACCACAAACAGCACATCCTGATCCAGCAGCCATATTCGCTGATGCGCCTGCGTTAGAACTGGGACTACTAACTGACGATGGCTGATGTTGATGTTGCTGGTTGGCAGGAATATGCCTTGGAAAGCGACCACTATTATTGAAATTTTGCCTCCTTGGCACTCCTAACTGCGAATTTTCACCCATACGATACACCTCAGGTTCAGATTTGATCCTTATTTCCTGAATATTATCATTGCTAGCTTCCTTTTTGCAAGCTATTTCGATTGCCTTGTCAAAGGAAAGCCCCACTTCCTTTTCTTCGAACAGCCGGTCCATTATGGGTCCCCTTTCGAACCCCATGATGAATTTATCTCTCAACAAAACATTAAGTTCTGCACCAAATTCACTTTTTGAAGCAAGTTGTCTAACTCGGGCTGCCCATTCTTGGACTGATTCGTCCTTTGATTTAACTGCACTATAAAATTTGTGTCTTTCCGGGAAAACTAACTTTGCTGGGGTAAAATGATTATCAAAAAGTTTGACTAACTCATCATAGGATTTGTTTTCTGGTTTAAGTGGGATGCACAAACTGCACAGTAGCTGGTAACTACTTTCGTTCAACAAAACAACAAAACAGTTCAACAAAAAAGCACGTTTGACCTTGTCAGTCGCAATTGCGTTAGCAATGAAATACTGTGTAAGCTGTGGTTTAAATATACTCCAATCAAATACTGTCTGTAGGTTAATCGAGGAGGTGGTATATTCATTATTCCAAATTTTTTGGGATTTTCTCTCCTCGTTTCTATAAAATAAAAATATGAATATTATTTCAATATACTGATTTGTCCTCACTACACGTATATTGAAATAATATTCATATTTTTATTTTATAGAAACGAGGAGAGAAAATCCCAAAAAAATTCGAATAATGAATACTCCAATCGTTTACACTTGGGTTGAATTCCCTCAAATGTCCCACGAAACTCGCTGCCATTTTCTTTCCG